TTTATTTATTTTGTTTTTCGTATTGTATTGCGCGTAGTTTTATTCTTGATCAATAGGTTGCATCAGTTATAAGCATATTTCAATTTATACGGCATCACCATCCTTTCAAGTTTTCCCTTAGGTCATTGCATTTATTTTTAGTTGTTTCGAGTATTTGGGCTAAGTAACACATGTTCTAAGTTATTTGATCTTCATTGTTTGATTTGACCACTATGTGAAGGAACATGACGTCGTGAAATACTCAAATCAACACAAACCAAGGGGAAAGCATGATAAAGAAAATTTTCTAGTCATCACACATAATGCCTCATATCTTCAATAGAGAAATTTGGGGAGTATCTTCTTCATTTTCTTTCCCGTCCACTTATATTCTTATTTATGATTTATGAAATTGAGGACAATGTCGGTTTTAAGTTTGGGGGTGGGAAAAATTTTGAGTTTTTACTTTTTGTGTGTTTTTGAGTGTTTGTGCGTTTGTTTTTCGTTATTACTTTAGTATATAATAGGGAAAAAAATTTAAAAATCAAAAAAATTGAAAATTTTCAGCATAAATAAAATAAAATAAAAAATATATATTTTCTTGTTTTAGGTTGTGTGCTTGTGTGGGTTAGATAATCTGACCGGCAATGATGATTAAATTTGAGATTTGATGTTGATTTATGAATTGTGAAAATGTTGCATGCTATGCTAATTGATGATTAACCTTGCAAAAACTCGATATTATACGTGCATTAAAATTAAGCTGGACATAGTGATATTACGAGTTGATTCATATGATTGATAGGTTGATATAATTGAACATAAATGCTTTACCTAAACAATACTAAAGTACTTATCCTTAGACCAAATTTAGCATAGTTTGAGGGTGATTTTGCTGTTGTGAGAAGATACGGATATTGATAGGAATTCCACGAATGAAAAATTTTGTGTGGATTGTCTTAGATTAACGAGATAAAGTTGGACGAAAATCTTAAGTTGGAGGTTGGATTGCTTGAATAGGTGTTTGATAAGTGGCGTTGCACTGATCATGGCATAAATTATTTTTAAATGTGAAAATTCTCTTCGAAACCTTTTTTACTTGGGTTATTAAGCCTGTAAGGGTGTTTAAAATCTGATGCCTAAAATCATCTAATTTGGGAGTCATCGGCCTAAAGCCTGTTACATGGGTCATTTAGAAAGTTCAATGGAGAGAACATAAAAAAGAAAAATACATTTGAAAATCTGGAAAAAAAAAAAAAGTGCATGAAAAAAAAAAGGAAAAGAGAAAAAAAAGAGCACTAAATGCCTTGATCAAGC